ACGCGGGGCGGGGCTGCGGCCCCTCAGGGACAGGCCACAGAAGGAACCCCAAGGTCACTGCCATTTCGGAACTGGCTAATGTGAGTATGTCTGTGCATGTATGTGTATGTGTATACACATGCAGAAAGGAACATCCAAGTAAGTCTTGGCTGCCCAAGGGAACAGATGCATTTTGGCTGGCACCCACTGTAAACAGTTTTGGGTTTGTTCCTGTAGGCAAATGACAAAGTGAGAGATAAAGTCTAAAGAAGTGATACTCTGTCTTGGATGCTTTGAACATGGTGACTGAAGGAAACAAAGTTCTTCAGGTGACACATCTTACAAAGCAGTCTCTATGGAGCCAACAGCTCTTTGAAACCAACAGACAGCTTTTGAAAATAAAGGGTTTAGAGTTGATGCTAGAAACTGCTCATCTTTTGTTAAAAGCATTGATGAAACAGACCTTCGTAAGAAGTACAGACTCTGATGACATAATTTTTCCTCTTCAGAACTATTTTTTTTTTCCAGTTCTATAGCTGTAGTGATGAAATGAAAGCTGAGGTTGGATCTCTATAAAACTGTGTAAGGATAGCGGCCTTCTGTGAAAAATGCCTAAGGACGTAATTGCAGACCCCTTATCATTTCTGTGCTGCAGTACATTTTGTGCTGAGTGCCCTCTTGAGGTCTCTGGCACGCAGTGACCCGGACAAATCCCGGGAGTGGGACTGTACCTGAGCTGTTCGTGACTCCTTCCTTTAAAGGTTTTCCCTCTCTTTTTCTCTCCTTTGGGAGAGACGTTCTAACCAGCCTAGACTGAGGGAACACAGTTAGGTCAACTACTACTTAAGAATTACAGACAATGAGTTACTCAGGGTAAAAACTAATTCAGAACTTCATCCAAAATCCCAGTCAGCCAAAGTAAATCTGTTTCATATTCAGGAGCTTTGATTAGCTTTATCGATGTATAGAAATGTGCTTCCTACTCATGTTTCTGGTTTTTTCCCTAGTTCTGGCTGGGACTAAATGGGAAGTGCTAAAATACCCTTTGAGTTTCTTCTTACAATACATAGCAGAGATTTCAGGGGGAAGCCTGCTGTCCTTATTCTTCCAGTGAAGTTCTGTAGTTGAAGGAACTCTGGATAACTTCAGTAAGGACAGTAACTTTTGAGTGCTTATCTGGTTTTCTCACATGCCCACTTATTTCAATTCCCCCAGCTGCATCAGTTTCTTAAAAACCCTGCAGTTATCCTGACCAGCATGCTATCTTCATTCAAAATATTTATTAAATATTCAGAGTTTAAGAAGCAAAATTCAATATTGCATCATTATTAATAGTATTGGGTTCTGACATGGAGCATTTTGCCTTTGAAAAGCCTTTAGAAATATATTTTGTTTGGACTCTAGATACACTTATTTTGCTGCTAGTGTAGCAGGTGTTTTTCTTAACCATTTTTTTTAGGAGAAATCCTAAGTTTAGAGGAAATGAGCACTCGATTATTTAAATTTCCTGAGATTAGAGGAAGAACACTTTGCCAAACAATGCCTCTTCACTTCAAAACCTCTCCCCATAAATTATGTTAGGGATCTTATTAAAAGTCTGTAAAAATTTCCTATTAAAAATGGTTGATTGCAGTCCAGACCATCACGGCTTTTGTGCTTTCAGTGAAATACCACAGCTGTCGCAAAGAAATATATTGCGAGACAAAAGGTTTTGTTTCCTTAGTCATAAATTATTTTTGTGATATCTAAAGTAAGATAAAACTTTCACTTATGTTTGAGTGAAGGAAGATTCCAGTGATAACTTGTTCAAAAATCTATAAAAAGAATATAAGAATGTAGATCTAGATAGCAAATTAGAATCAGACTTCCTTTTTGTTTAAGGAAAGCAATTATTTCTGAAGTCAGTGAAGATTATAACCAGGGATAATAGCATAACTTTGCAAAGCACACTGCCTTTATCTCAATAGAACCTGAAGTTTAAGCTTTCAAGTCTGACCTTCGAGAACTATGCGATAGAAAACTTTAGTGTTGCCTAGTTTTTAAACCAAAGTTAAACAATAGGAAGTAGTCTGTTTGCTAATTATACTTACAAACAACAATAGACCAATTTTTTAGATTTTAAAGAAGTATTAAACAAATTGGCTTTGACCATATTTGTTTTTCTATTGGCAAATGAGTTTTCTGCTAAGGAATTCTGCAGAAACAGGAGCCTTTTAGTGGAAGAAGAGCTGTACATACACTGAATAGACACTGAGATATTTGCTGTCAGGACTGGATTCTGATTATATTCACCCAGTCAAGGAGTAGAAGTATATCCCACATATGACCAGTGTATGCAATGGAAATATAAAAGCACAGCATATATACTAAAGATTATTTTCCAAAATTAGCTGCCAAATAATTTTTTGAATGAAAGATAAATTAGGATGTTCACCATTTGCTCATACATCATTGCTTTCTGTATAACAGTCAAATTTCTCAGCCTCCTTCCCTGCTCATTGTAGAGATTACTGAATAAAGACAGTGCAGGTGCTAGAACTCAGAGTTGGAGAGACATTTTGGGTTATATATGGAAAAATCAATATGCTTTTTCTAACTATCAATAGTATTTATAACTAAGCTGGTTCTCTTTACCTGTAGCCATCACATGAGCATACTGGAATTTGTTTATATGTATATTTAAATCAGGATTGTACAAAACAAAAATGCAAGATGGTCTTCTGCTGTGTAATTTAGAGAAATAGAGTATGAAGCCTTGATCATTTAATAAGATCCCTTACTATAGCCCCCTGTTTGTTTTTTTTTTTTCTTTCTGAGTGATTTTTCTTATAATTCAAAATCCATCTTCATAGTGCTTTTTTATGGCAACGTGCTATACATTCTTCAGGTCAAACTTGCTCAAACTGAAGAACTGCGAAGATAAATATCTTTAACATAAGGTCTAAACCAAATTAATCAACCTTGGGGAATTATTTCCATTGTGAGGATGAAGATATATATTTCATGTCCCATAGACCTGGGGCAGGGACAGGGCAAGTCACGTATTTGTGTTGGTGAGATCCAGGAGTTGATGCACACCAGTGCAGATGAAGTGCCTTGGGCACACAATGACATACCGCTCCAGCCATTGCTGGAGGGTGTGGGGGGCACTTTCAGGATCGGGGAGGAGTGCCTAAAACCTCTGTAGTCCTCTCTACCCTGTTAGGATCTAGCTTTGTGTTCTCACTCATGCTGAACAGTCTTTTACAAGTAATCCCACTGATGTCAGTGAGACTTTTCTGTAATAAAATGCTGTCTGACAAGAATATGGGTATCAGAATCTGGCCCTGCTTGTACTAATTCCATTTTAATGAACACTTAAATGGAGTTGTTATTAAAAAAGTCTATTTCCTAATATTCAATAAATCAAAACTATAAAATCAGTTTGCCAGTTGTTGCCACTCTAGTCAAAGCCAGTTTCTCTTGTATTGAAAAGAATAGTACATACTGTCTCCGTTCAGGAGGGATTAATTGTAATACTTTTATCTGCTTCATAAGATTTATTTCTAATAATGAAGAGTAAAGGAAAGTAAGGGAGCTTTAAACATTTATTATTTTTATTATAGCACCATATATTCAGGAGATGTTTCACAAACACAGAATTTGCTTAACCTAAGAAGCTTGTTTGATGAATGAGCAACTTCAAAACAGAATAAAAAAGGCATTATTCATTTCTCTGATCATATCCATTTAATTTCATGAGATGGAGCCTTGGACACTATGTGATAATGCAGAGATACATACTAAAGCCTGCTAAGATTTTGTAGGCCAGTCATCTAATGAAGGTGATTAGAGCAGCAGTATGGGTTTCCCCATGCTACTGGGGAAACTACCTGACATGAGTCCCCACTGTTGTGAAACAAAGGTGCACTGTCTGTATGAAAAATGGTTTAGATTTGAGATGGTTTCTCCCTGCATGTGGAAGAGGACTGATCTGCTTAACTTCCATGGTGACATTCACACCAAGGAGTAGGAAGTATGCTTATGGTGCTGTTTGACTTTGTTGCACGTTAACAAAACGTAAGTAAAAAGCAGTGCGGCGAGGGCAAAAAAGGAACCGAATTTATTTAGGTTGAATGTAAAGCTGCCCTTGTACTGAAAGCCTGGCAGAAAAATTCTAGCAGAGTATTATTTCCTTGGAATTTGCTAAATCTTTGAAGTCTAAATGTTTCACAAAGATGGAGAGTGTTCAGTTCCCCCGAGATGTTCTTCCAGACAACAGTCAAGATTCCTGATTTTATACCTTTGCGTATGCCAGGTTTCCAGAGTCTCTAGCTCTGATGCAGTCCACTAGACACCCTGATGTGGGGGCAAGGATGCCAACTCCTCCATTGCTCTGCAGCAGCCTACCAGGCTGTTTTTATAAATTACGTATTTTCTCCAACCATAAATATTGCTCCTAAAAGGGATACTGAAATGAAGATAATAGGACTTTTCAGTAATAGGTCTTCTAATGTCATCCGTTCTGTTTAAACTGTTCAATTTTCAACAGAATTAAAGATCTACACGGTATATTCTACCTCCTGCAGACTGCAGTTGTTAAAAGAAAATAAATCACTTAAACAGGGTCATGAGCAACAAAGGCCAATGTGGGTTCAAAGTTTACAGGTCTCTGCATTTATCAGGTAGAAATATGCTACATTTCACTATTTCATAAAATATCCTTTTATGAAAAAAACATCAATCTTTGTTTGGCCTACTAAAACTGATTTCTCAAATGAAAGAAATGAATGATGACACCAAATCAAGAAACCGTTTATGAGTTTATATTTTTGTAAGACCACCATGACTTTCACATACGTTTTCAATTTTGGTAAGGATGTGATTATCATGTGGATATGTTTTACTCCCACCATCTGTACTAAGGGATCTGTCAGAACTGTGTACCCTTTCCTGGGCAGTTCAGGATTTGTTCAGATTTTTTCATTAAACTATAGTGGTTTTTATCCAGTGATAGTTATCATTTCTGTACATTATCTACAGATTTTCTGGGATTTGTATATATATATAAAAAATACATATAAAATCACATATATCATATGCAAGTTCACATTTAAACTAAAACTGCATCTAAACGACCTAGTTATATCTCAAAGTTTTTTAACATTTCTGTGGAAGGATTTTTGTGTGATTTCTCTCACACACTCTAGAAAACATCATCTTAATTACAGATCTTTTATTATCCTTCTGATCTTTCCTTACCATTGCCACGCTTCCTCCAGGAGTCACCAAGCTCTTTGACCAACTGAACAATTTAGATACTTAAAACCAGTATTGTATATTCATGTTTCAGGTATTGCAGAACTACAATAGAGTGGTTCGAGGCAGGTAGAATATAAGAAATTACATTATTTCTCATTTAGTAATGGCAACCAGTACAACAACCAGCATGCTGCACCATAATAAGGAAAAGTGATTTCACTTCTGGTAAATGGTGTGGTCTCCCTTTGTGTCTACACAAAGCAAATGAGCTTGGCCTTTCTAGGCCTCTAGTGAAAACAGGCACAAACAAATTAATATAGTTTATTAAGTATCAGTCTCATTAGAAGGAGAATGTATGGGGAAGTTAATCTGAACTTCTGAGACAGAACTTGATGCCTAGGTTTTTAAGAGGAGCATTTTGCTCCTTTTTCTATGGAGTTCATTTTGAAAAAAATATCCATCTTTGCACTGTTTTTCAGGAAATTCACTTTTCCCAGTTTATTTAGGAATTATGTTTTTTAATTATCTTTTATTCAGTGTTGAAAAGGCAAAGTTAGGAATGTTCCACGCTTCCACTGTAACTGAGAAGTTAGTCTTTTACTCAAAGAATGTATGCTATCTAAACATGTATTTATTCCTATCAACCTTCTCTTTTCTCTTCTAGGGAAAAAAGAAGAAAGAAAAAAGCATGAAAAGACTGGAGTTCAGCTGTTATTTTGGGGAAGAACCTTTTGCCAAGTCCCACACAGAGTAAGTGTTTAATGTGAAGTTAGCGTTATCAGAACGCAAGCCTTGCTGCTCTATGGCTAACATTGCTTTCCTGTAGCTTTTATTGTAGTTACAGGGTCTTCATAATAATTTAAACAGCCTACTCTTGTATGAACATGCTATGAAATACATCTTATGACACCACCAAAGACTCTGGAAAACCTTACATACAGAGAAAACATAAACATCTTTCAATGAGCACTTTACATTACAAACCAAACATCTTCCCAAAACAAAATCTGCCTTGTCTGAGGAGACTGAAAGGCAAACAAAGCTTTCTATTCATCTGGTGATGACCTTAGAGCAAATGTTGGTGTTAAAGCAGGCAAGATAAGAAGTTCTGGATTTTACTTTTTTTAAATGAATCTCAGAAAACTGGTACTTACCTGAAATTTGAGGGCTTTTATTCCATGTGCTCCTCAAAGCAGCTTGAAAAAAAAGCACAGAATTCTGTAACGACTCCCTTGGGTGCCAGAATAATGCCCCCAAATCCAGAGAGTCATGGGAGTTCAGTGTGCTTTGCCTTTCTTTACCCCTCAGTACAGTGCTCTGTGGTTCTTGCAGTCAAGAGCCCATGGTTCATTCACACATCAAAAACTTTCAAAGTAGCTGGAAGAATCTGAGGCCATGTGCATAAAGTGTAAAAAGTGCATAACCCTGTTTGAGAAGTTGTTCATCACTTAATGGATTCTCTACCTGAAGAAAAGCAGATCGAGAACTCGGCAGCTTTAGGTGTCAAAAAGGCAGTTTCTATTCTAAGTGGAATGGAAGCGTTATCTTAAAAGTATCTTAGAAGCACTTTCCCTCCCTTTGACCCATATAAAATCTGTGGAAACCTTGTTAAATGTTCAAGATATGGCAATATTTTTCAAATGGCTAAGATAGTTAAATTCCATTCTGGTGACCATCTACACTGTAAACAGTGTGTGTAATCTTAAATTTGAAGAGGAAGTCTCTAAAGAAAACTTTATTAATGTGTTCTGTAAATGTATGCAGTTTTGCAAGTGCATTAGCATGGTCACATAGGAGTGTGTCATAATGTGTCATGTAGTTTGGTATGCTGCATCTGATCATGGCTGTTGGGAGATCATTTGGAGGATGATGAATGGAACTCCAGAACAGGCTGTCAGAACAAGTTGTCCAGGGAAGGCAGAGGAGAAGCAATGGAAAAGTTCTTCCTTGTCTCTTCTCAGCCACTGTTTGACATGCCATGAAATTTAAACATAATTTCCTTCTCTAATAAAACATTGAATGTTTTTATAATCTGTCATTGATTACCAAATCATAATGGTAAGAGTTGGGTAGCTGATCCATGGAATCACACCGCTTTTACAGTGTTTTCAATTATAGTTTTATTAAAGAGGGAAAGATGTTCCGTGAGAAGTATTGAGAAATATCTATACCAAAACAAGTGGGCAGCTTGTCTTCACAATGTTTTAAATTTCTCTTCCAAGACTAGTAAAACTAGGGGTTCCACTAGTTAATGATGTGCTGTTACCCTTTAGTTTCATTAAAAGTTGGTTATAATACAAGCTGAATACAGAGTGCCTGTTTTCTCTGTATCTTTCATTATTTAATATGCACTTGCTGAATGCCCTCTTACAAATTCTCTAAAGATGTATGGTCCTCTTTCATGACTGGCCCTGCTCATCAAGAAATCTTTTCAGACTTCTGATCGTTTGTCTGTGGCTCTGAACCTCTTTGTGAGAAAAGGTCCCATGAGTTGTCTTGAAGAAAAGGTTTTGAAGGATATATCCCTCTCTAAGGTACCAGAAGTACAGCATGCCACTATTGTATAAAACTCTCACAAGAGAGCAGAGGTATCTCTAAAACAGTGCAGCTTTCCATTTCTGAAGAATCCCTCTCACTAGGAGTTACACAACCATTGTTATTCTCCCTTGCTGTTTAATTCTGAGCGCACAGTGATACGTGATCTGTATTTGTCTTGCTCTGTCCTCAAGGACATACTAATGTGCTGCTGGGTTAGAAATACTTCCTTTAAAAGTACTGAAATACTGGAAAGCTATTTTTTCAGGGTAGCTGCAACCTGAGAACATCTTTTCTTAGGGAAGAGAATAGTTCAGAAACTTCTTAACCATTTAAATGCACTGCTAGTTTTTGTAATTTAACTTTTTTTAAAAAAAATACAGTATATAACTATATTTGAGCTATGTTTTTCAAATAAATAATGTAGAATTCTAAATTTTCTTTTCAGTAAAGTCAACTTTTATGGTAAATCTTATTTTTTTAAGAGCTGTAACTTGCTTCCATCACTTAGACATAGCTACTACTCTTCATGTTATTCTTTTGTTGGTTTTAAGTTTACTATATCCTGTTGTCCTTCTTGCCTGAGAAATATCTTCAGGGAAACATGTGAACTTGATACTGTCAAAAAGTTTGTGCCTTCACATTTACAGCTCAGTGCAAGCTTCTGTCTACTGCCATCTTACCACAGCAAGGTCTATACTTACTGAAAAAAATGAGAGTTTTAGATAACTGTTTGAATGTGATACCACTAATCAGACAGTATTTGATACTGTTAATTCTTTAATTAATCAGGCAGTGTTTTATCCTGTTAGTTCTTTAATTAACTTCTCTGTAATCCCTTCTCAGTACTCCTTGCTGCTGCGGTTTGCAAGAGCAGAAACCAATCCGAATTTACAAACCTGTAATGTTTTATAGCTCTGCTGGATTTTACATTAGTAAAATTTAGTATTTCATTTCATGAATCACCTGTGAAGAGTTCCAAATGACAAAGCTCCCAGCAACCTCAAAATACAGAAACAGCTCTACTTTTCTAAAACACTTCTAAAAAGCACATCCTAAACTTGACATAATTAATGGCTATAATAACCTTGTAGCCAGGCTTTAATAAGATGACACAATGAATCTCTATGAATAGAAGTATGCACTTGGATCCTAGAGAAAAAAAAGGCTTCATGTTCATATACTGAGGATGAGATTCATCTTGTCTGTTTAGTGTAGATTTGTGCATCTGAGGTAGTCATGGAAACACAGTTGAAGAAAAATGGATGCTAGAGTCAACTCATTTGACTTATGTTAATTGTCCATCTAAGAATGCCTACCTTACCTTCAGCTCAGTGAGGGGGCAAGTTAACTAACATGTAGTGAAGAGTGATGCATGCCATAAAAAATGTGCAGGTTAGTTATTAGTGCTAGATAATATAATACTGACACAGTCTTACACGCATTGCTAAGATCATGGCTCACACTGTGAACTTCTTGTTACTCCGATTTAAGCAAATTTGATTATTGTAAACAATACTGAAAATTAACATTTTTTCATCTGAAAAATTGTGACGGGACAGGAAGCAGTGCAGAAACATGGGGAGAAGCATTGGCACTTTTCTCATGTGGCAGTTTTTCTAAGTGTGTTGCTTAATATGAGGTTCAGATCTGACTTCTGAATGTTAAAGCTCCATGGAGCCTAAGTTGGCATTTAAATTAAAGGTTTGGCATCCTTCATGAGCATAAATAGTATAGATGCCTCTTCAGTCAGTTGTCCAACGTACAGCAAATGCAAGGTGGCGAAGTGAGCAAACAAATTCCTTACTCTACTGAGAAGGAAGCAATACTAGAATAACTATGTGTAGCTTTGACCATTTGTCTTGAAGAAAAGCTTTGCTTATTTGTTTCTGCTGCCAACGTGATATTGTTTATAGCAAGGCTAGATATTGAGGAGTGCCACTGGACAGTTTCAGTTTAGTTCCAATTGATGTTTTCCTTTCAAATCTCATATGAGTGATATTAACCTAGCATCTGGAAAGTGAGAATTTTTCACTGGGAAACCATGGGTCAGAGGTAATTTGCATTGATTAGTGAGTAGCCTTGAATCTAAGCAACATAGGAGGGGACGTTCTTACCAGCTAAGAATTCTGCACTGAAAGAGAGCTTTACTGGGAACAGCTATTTTTATTGTTTTAACTCCTGTTAGCATTTGGCTGGATTTTGTGTCAGTTGCCTGGTGTGTATTGGTGGAGTTTTACATTTGGTCTCCCACTTTTCCAAAGCACTAAGAAAACTATCTGCTTAAAGAGTAGTTATATGGGTGTGCAAGTTCAGTCATCTAATGGTTGTAGCCAGTTATGTTGCAGTGTGTGTTAGTTTTGTAAGTGTTGTGTGAAGGCTGACAGAGATCACATTTCTGTGTTTTGCTGCTCAGTCCAGACCGTAGCCTCTAGAGGTAATGGATCTCTGCAGAACCTCACTGGAGCAGATCACCAAACAGTGCAGGATTTCAAGAGCCGATGCACTTTTATTGCTACAATATTCTTGTCATGAAGGTGATGGGTTTTCTAGTGTGGTTTCATATATCAGTGTGGGTTTATGTCTAAAACCTGAGCCTTGTTGGTAAGCTGGATACCTTTTCTTTTTTTTAAAGAGGCTTTTATTTTGTTCTTAGAAATTAGTTGTTTCTAAGTAATAGGCTTCTGAGTATATAGATTGGTATATGCTATAATGAAAAGACTGTGAAAAGATGCTTGCATATGCAGAACAGGTAGAGTCCGTAAAATTTATCAGAGCATGGCTCAATCACAAATTAGATGGGTTTGTCCAAGTGAGTGACAACCCCTGTCCAACAGCAGATTGATTCTGCTGTTGGCAAAGTTGTATTTTGCTCTGAGGGTAGGTTATAAGCACTGGGTTTCCTGTTGCATCTCTACTCTTGGAATTGCTAGGCAAGCTACAAGTGCTTGCTAGATGAACTGTGTCTCAAACCACTGTAGCCCCACTATAACGTTATAAAAATCAGAATAATCCAGACAACTGAATGAAATCACCTAAGATGTCTGTTTATTACTCAAAAAAAAATCACGTAGTTCTTTCCCCTCCCCTTTTTTTAAAGGAGCACAATGAAAGAGCTGGATTTTATATCTCATCTTCATTGGAGCAGGTGTTTACAGGCAAGTTATAAAGTCCTGGAATGTGGTTTATATTAGACGTCTGTGTGCTGTAGTCAT